GGGTAATCGGGATGGGTGTGTCAGAGGCAGTGCGGTTGGCGCAGGATAGAACAGGGTTTAGGGCTGTTGTGCATAGGGTCGCTATGAGTCGCAAAGGACTCAACGGCACAAAACAACATTAAAAACAACAAAAAACCCGCAACACATTTGGTCACCAGTATGAGGCTGGCGTCCAGGTGCTGAGTATTCTGAAGCAGCATGACTCTACAGAGGTTTTATATTTGGTTCTGGTGATAATTTGGATGCAATGTTGCTGGCCATTGGCTGTGAGTTGATCGTATTCGGCCTTTTACTTAAAAATGCATTTGGTCACCAGTATGGGGTTAGAATCCAGGACTTTCATTCATAGGGTCGCTATGAGTCATTTATGACTCAATGGCACTTAATAACAACATACTTGCACCAAGAGACAGTTATCAGAACAGAGCAAGGCAACACTGCATGGATCAAAATCAGAAGAGGTATACAACAAGAATGGATCCAATCGCCATACCTTTTTAATCTATATGTGAAACAGATCATTAGTGAAGCTGGCTCTCTGAGGAGAAATGTGGCATCATTAAAGCAAATGGCACAATTTTGCTTGATGAAACTGAAAAGAACTTGAGGCACCTACTGCAGAAGGTCAAGGACTGTATCATTCAATATTGATTAAAGCTCAACATCAAGAAAACAAAGAGTCTTTCTTCTAGGCTGATTGCAGCATCATGATAGATAGCGAAGAGGTTGAGATAATTAACAGCTTGCTTGACTCCACAATTAACTCTCTTGATATCAGCAGTCAGGAAATCAAGAGATGAATTGTGTTGGAAAATCTGCTGTCAGGGACCTCTCCAGATTACTGAAGAGCAATGATGTCAGTCTAGAGACTAAGATGTGCCTTATCAAGCCATGGTCTTTGCAATTACTTGAGATGCATGAGGGAGCTGGACAATGATAAAAAAAGAATCCATGCCTTTGAGTTGTGGTGCTGGAGAAAAGTATTGAATATACCACGAACTGCTAAGAGAATGAACAGGTTTGTCCTGGAGAGGGTGAAACCAGGCTGCTTTTTGGAGACAAGGATTTTGAAGCTCCATCTGACAAACTTTGAGCATGTTGCGAGGAGGGACCAGTCCTTGGAGTATGACACCATGCTTGGAAGGGTGGAGTTATAGTACAGTAAAGGAAGACACTGGATGAGATGAACTGACTCAGTGACTAGGGTAATGGGGGTAGGTGTGTCGAAGACAATCAAATTGGCTCAAGATAGAGCAGAATTCAGTGTGTTGTATGTAGAGTTGCTATGAGTTAGAGTTGACTCAAAGGCACTAAACTTATATGACAAAAATAGAATAGACTATCCTGCTTTCAGTGTTTTGTTTTGTTTTGTTTTTTTGAAAATACACCTCTACATATTTATAAGGAACTCTAGTGGCACTGCTGCTAACCAAAATATCAACTGTACTCACCAGTCACTTCACAAAAAGAAAGATGAGGCCATAAACTTCATTTAAGATTTATAGTCTGGGAAATTTTATATGGTTGTTTTTCTTCCAGAACTGTTTTGAGTTGGAAACAAATTGATAGAAGTGGGTTTTTGGTTTCCCAAGCACCATTTCATTTATCAGAATAATTGAGTACCAAATTCCTGTTGGATCATTCTTAGTTTAACTTATTTTGCTTAAATCAGAAATTATTTCTACAGTTGTGGAAGAATTTTGCTATCATTGAAAGAACTGAATATTTTTGTGGTCATTTTCTTGAGGCTATTTTAATTTTGCTAATTGAGATATGAAATGTGTATTGTCTTTCTGGCTCCTGATAGCATTTTGTTTCCCCAACAATCTAAGTGTCCTTTACTAATAGTGAGATGTTAATTTTACGTTTATTGCTTAAAGGGGTTTCCCCATATATTTAACATAAATATTAAAATTCTAAAATTGCTAATTTCCTCTCTATATTACATTTATGAATATCTTGACTCTAAAGTTTTCCGAACAATTCCCAACAAAGTGCATAATCTGGATTTTCATTCATGTTGAGTTCATGATAATTCTTGCTAAAGCTGTAGATAGCTGTGGGACAGTATCTTTATGAATAAGAAAAACTAGAATACATTTTTTTTGTCCAAACAAGATATTTCTTTGTGATGCTGTAGATGATATATTTATTCCCATGGTGAAACACAAATTTTAGTTATTAAAACTTTTTTAAAAAATAAAAGAGAAATAATTTCTTTTTCTTTGTACTCTAGGACCCAAAGGAGTAATAAATGATTGGAGAAAGTTTAAATTAGAGAGTGAAGATGATGATTCAATCTCACCTAACAAAAAGGAGATTCTGAGGCAAATGTCTTCTCCTCAGAGCAGGGATGACAAAGACTCAAAAGATAAAATCAGCAGAAAGGTAAGATAAGGAAAAGGCCATTTACCTGCACTTGCAGACATGGTTATGTTCCCAAAACCAGGATGTTGTGCAAATTGGTGCTATGCAAAAATAGAGGATAATCTCACAAAATGAAGAACAGCTACATCATTGCATAACTGCCAAACCAGAAAAGACATTCCAGCCAAGCAACTAGCTTCACTCTCATCTTGACCCTTGGTATTAATTAATGCAAGGAATGACATACATTATGAATGTGCAAAATAAGTAATTTTGTTTATTATTGTTATAAAGGTGAAATGTCAAATCAAGTTAGTGGATAAGTTATGCAAAATTGTCATAAATAATTTACAACGTCATTTTTAGTATAAATGACTATAAGGAATTCTTCAGAAAGATTAGAAAACAAAGGTGAATTACCAGAGTATTTTGGGCAGTATTATTTTTACTGACAAAAATGAAAAATAAAGTGACTGACTATTAAAGCCTTGTATATGAAGAATTGCTTGGCAATTGTCATGAGTTGGATTGTGTCAGGAGCTCTGGTGGCTTAGTGGCAAGAAGCTGCCCTGCAATTCCGTGGGCCACCCACCAGCTACTCTGCAGGAGAAGGATGGGTAATCTCTTCCCATGCTATTAACTGCCTCTGAAAACCCCCTAGAGGGTCAGCTATGGATCAGTTTCCAACTCAAAGGTACACAACCACAAAATACATGAAGGGAGCTCTGCTGGCTTGTTGTTGTTGTTTGATGCCGTCGAGTCATAGACGACTCATAGCGACCCTATGAATGAACAGCCTGAGCACTGTTCGTACAGAGTTTCCAGAGGCAAGCCATTTTGGAAGTGGATGCCGCTCCTGCTTCCAGGCTTGATTTAGTCGGGAAGCTCCTGCCAACATTGTCCACCATGGGTACCCATTATCATGATTGGCGCATCACTGTCACAGTCTTCAGCATCACAGCAACCACGAGTTACCTCTGTACAGTAACGCACAGACCAGTGCTATATCACCTAGAAGAATGTTTGACAGGAAGACAATTTGAACCTGGCCGAGGGCTTAGTGGTAAGGAATTACACTGCTACCCAAAAGCATATGATTCAAATCCACCAGCTGCTTCACAGAAGGAAGATGGGCAATAGTCTCTCGTGCTATTTACTACCTCTGGAAACCTGAGGAGCCAGCTAGACATCACTTCAACTCAATTATATACAACAACAAAGACAAAATACATGTATGAAATTATATACTGAAGAAGGTATGTAATGATCCCCATGATCTGATAAGCCAAACTGTTGTAAAAGGATTAAAAATGAGATACAATATCCTTAATCCCATAACAGCTCTGATTTGATGTAAGGGATGTTTGCCTTGGGTGTGGCATGTATCAACTTTTATTTCCTTGAGAAGGGAGTCTTAATACCATTGAAAGAGCGAAAAGCAAAGCACACCTATTTTAGATTCAGGTTCCTGTGCAAGGAATCTCCTAGAACCAGAAGACATAGAGAGGGAAAATCTTCTCTTAGAGCCACCATCCTTAGTTTGCTTAGACAGAGAGAAAATAAATGTATGTTTATTAAAGTCATACACTTGTGCTATCCTATAGGTTGTTGTTGATTGCAGTAGAATTGAGCACTACTCATAACGACCCTATGAGCCTTTCTATAACTATCATTGTTTCTCAAAGTTCATAGAGTTTCTAGAGACATATTGTTTAGGAAGTGGATGCCACTCCTGCTTCCAAAATCTTACAAGTAGCTCTAGATAACGAAGATATCAATGGCTGAAAGAATGAGTTACATACAGTCAGCTATATGAGTTGACTTAGAGGCAGTGTTACAATGTACAATTATGTGAGAAAGTAACATAGAGACTATTTTAAAGAAAGCCTATAATCTAATCTTTAAAGCAGTGGAAAATGACATTAATATATGTATATTGTTGTTGTTGTTGTTATGTGCCATCAAGTCACTTGTGACTCATAACGACTCAATGTACAGGAGCCCTAACCCCTGCTCTATCCTGTGCCAACCTCACTGTCTCCAACATTCCCATTACCCCAATCAGTCTCTGAATCAATCCATCTTATCGATGATCTTCCTCTCTTGCGCTGTCCCTCCAACCTCCCAAACATGATGTCCCTCTCCAAGGACTGACCCCTCCCTGCAACATGCTCAAAGTATATCAGACCAAGCTTCAGAATCTTTTTTTTATTATATAAGCATGTATGTCATATACATATTCATATTAAAAACCAGTCATTAAGCTGGTTACTTGAAATTATGGGCTTGGCTGAGGAAAATAAGAGGGGGGAAAGTAAGCAGAATAAGCCCTATATTTTTAAAATTCATGATAAAAACCAAAAGCAACTTTTTTTTTCTCAGCAAGATATCACTTCTTTACCTAAGTTACATAATAATGTCTGGGAGTTCCAAGGTGGCTCAAATAATATAGTACTAGATTAGCATTCAAAAGTTGGTGGTTCAGATCACCTGAGAGATGACTGAAAAGGCAGACAATGTGCAGCTGAAAGGTCATAACCCTGAAAATCTGATGAAGCATAGGATTATACTCTGCACACATAAAATGGCCAAGAGTCATGATCAACTCAAAGGTAACCAACAACAAAAATATAAGATGTATTGTCTGGAAGATATTTGAGATATGTTAAAAGACAATCAATCTATAGATGAAAAATATATGGCAATATGGTCTCTAGGGAATTGCACTGCTAACCCGAATGTCACATATCTCTGGCAGTTCAAATCCATCTGCAGCTCTGCTGAGAAAATGGGAATTTCCTTCTTAGGTGGTTTACAGCCTTGGAAATTCACTGCAGGGCCAACTGTGAGTCATTTCTGACTAAAGGAGAGTAAGTTGAGTGAGTATTCATGGAAACAAACCAAGTGTCCATCAACAGATGAAAGGGGAAAGAAAAACTATGATACATTCACACAGTGGAAAAGTAGCAACCACTAAAAACCAATAAAGATTTCTTGAAATACTACCTAACGTGGATGTATCTAAAGGACATTTTGCTGAGTGAAATAAGTTAGTCACAAAAGGATAAATGTAGTATAAGGCCATTGTTAGAGAAAGCTAAGAAAATATTTACATTATTCATAGGATCGTTTTTGAATGGTTATCAGGGATAGAAAGGGAAGAAATGGTTGGTAAAAACTAATAAATATGTAGAAGACATATACATATTAACATGAGAAAAGAGAAAAGCAATATTCAATAAGGGGATGATTGGCACAACATCACTTAAAGGGAAGGCAAGAGAGGTATAGAAAGATTAGGGGAAATGAGAATTATAAGAAGGAAGTGGGGGAAATGCAATTACATTGTTGTTGTTATGTGCTGTTGAGTCACTGGTGTCTCATAGTGACCCTATGTACAACAGCTTAACCTAAACGCTGCTTTGTCCTGTGCCAATCTCATTGTCTCTGACACACCTACCCCGACTACACCAGTGACTGAAACAATTCATTTCATTGAGGGTCTTCCTCTCCTGGGCTGTCCCTCCACCCTTCCACACATGATGTCCCTCTCCAAGGACTGGTCCCTCCTTGCAACATGTCTAAAGTATGTCAGACAAAGCTTCAGAATCCTTGCCTCCAAGGAGCAGCCTGGTTTCACCCTCTGAAGGATGAACAAAATGTACATAAATAGTCCAGTAAAACATTAATTTGCATGGTAAACCTTCACACAAATCATAATTTTAAATATAAAAGGTTACAAAATGTTAATGAAGATTATCTAAGAATATTACACTTTAGTTTACATATCTTGGACATGTTGTTAGAAGGAGTCAATCTTTGGAAAGGGTTATCATGCTTTGAAGAATGGATGGTTGGCAAAAGAGAGGAAGACTCCTAAGATTCTCAGTGAGATGAATTGACACAGTATCTGCAAACATGATCTCAAATATATCAGAGATGTTACTGACTCCACAGTACACAACATATCTATATCTAAAGTCACTGGGGGGCGCTAATCGATGGAAGAAAGTCTGGCAATCTGATTCCAAAATGCCACAGTCTTGGAAACTCCATGCAGCAGCTTTGACCTATGGACCTGTGACCTTTGACCTATGGATGATTGCAATCAGCAACTCCTCACCACTGAAGTGTCACAGAAAGGCAACACATTTGTGTGTGTGTGTGTTTAATCACTTCTCTATTTCATTCTATAAAACTCAGTTAAATAACTGAACTCTACTTAAGATGGTGAGCACCTTTGTGGTACCACAGGCACATCTCTCTATATTGTGCTTCATTTTCTTGAACTTCCCAGATACTGCAGTTTTTTACAAACTGAAGATTTGTAGAACAAATTTGTCAGCACCATTTTTTTTAACAGGATGTGCTTATTTCATATCTCTGTGTCACAGAGATTTTTGGTAATTCACCATATTTCAAACTTCTTCATATTGCTATTGCACACTTGATAAAGACTACATACTGTGAACATAGCTTTCACAAGCACTGGGAAACCAAAACAATGTGAGATTGTCTTTATTGCAATCTTTTCCTTATTGTAGTGGTCTAGAATTTAACCATAGTAGCTCCAAGACATGCATACATACTCAACAAAATATTTGTGTGTGTTTATTTATGAAATAATGCATGAATTCCAATTTTGTGCCAGACACTATAGAAGATGTTGGAAATACAATGATGTAAGAGAAAATTAAGATATCTGTTTGATGGAACTAATAGAACTAGTCAGTTGGAAAAACTGGCACAAATCAATGAATATTTAACACACTATCAAAAAGTATTGCTATAAAGATCATCAGTATAATGACTAGAAAGGGTGAGACTCTTTTAGATAGGGCAACCCCTGAAGGTGACATTTGAAGGTAAAATTGAATGAGGTAGTTGCTGTTTTTTGGTGCCTTTGAGTCAATGACAGCTCAGAGTGACCCTACAAACAACAAATCAGAACTCTGCCCTGTAACAGATCCGAATCATCCTAACCATTTCCGATATGTTACAGTCACCGTGTAAATCTATTTTATTGCACATCTTCCTTTCTGTCTACTTTTCCCATATTGATATCTCTTTCCAACAACCAGATCTTGACAATATGCCCAAAGTATCTGATATGATGTTTCACCATCTTTGCTCTAAAGAGCAACCTTTTTGCACTCCCTCCAAGACAGACTTGTTTGTTCCTATAGTAAGCAGTCCATGAGCTATTCTATGGCACTGAGAATGAATTTGTGTTGTGTCTGAGGATTATGGGTTTCTGAGTAAAGGTATTTCATCTGCTTTCAGATGAGCATTCAAGAATACGAACTAATCAATCAAGACAAAGAAGATGAAAACTGCCTTCGTAAATACCGTAGACAGTGTATGCAGGACATGCACCAGAAGCTGAGTTTCGGGCCTCGACACGGGTTTTTATATGAGCTGGAAACTGGGGAACAATTCCTGAAAACCATTGAGAAGGAGCAGAAGATCACCACAATCGTGGTTCACATTTATGAAGATGGTATCAAGGGCTGTGATGCACTCAACAATAGTTTAACGTGCCTTGCAGTTGAATACCCTATGGTCAAGTTTTGTAAAATAAAAGCCTCTAATACAGGCGCTGGTGACCGTTTTTCTGCAGATGTACTACCCACACTGCTGGTGTACAAAGGGGGGGAACTCATTAGCAATTTCGTTAGTATTGCTGAACAGTTTGCTGAGGAGTTTTTTGCCGGTGATGTGGAGTCTTTTCTAAATGAATATGGGTTACTGCCTGAAAGAGAGATGCAAGGCCTTGAGCCCGCCGACATGGAAGATGAAGATATTGAATAAAGATTTACTACATCAATATCTCATATTCCCCTCTCACACAATGAAAGCTGATGTTGACATGACTATCATAATTTGAGAGAAAAAACTGACACTAAAATTGTATTATTAGAAGTACATTTTAACACCTCTACTCCTGAGATGGGTCCACTCTCTCTTTCTGAGGTGATTCTCATAACAAATTCTCCTCTGCAAACTTTCCTCTGTCTTAATAATCTTTCCTATCTTTAACTATTAAAAAGTTATTATCAGAATTCTTGTTATGTTTAATTGATAGAACATTTTACTATATAGCCACTGTCTTCTTCAGCAATAGTTAATACAGTGACTACAGATAATATTGTGACTTTTTTTTTCAAAACAGAATTCTTTCCTGTTATATAAGTAGTGTTGGCTTTTTTTACATCTTGATTTATTTCCTCTGTTATTCTTTGAGCTTCTCAAATTATATTATTAATTATATTTTAGCTTGTAAAATATGAATAAAGTCTCATAAGAAGATAAATTTTCCTATTTGAAGTCTATTAATTTTCAGGTATAACATTTTCAAGGTCTAAAATTATTACAAAGCCCAAATTACAAAAACATACATGCATATGCATGTGTATGTATCATTCAGAAACATACACATACACCCAAATCAATGAATGCAAGGGAAACTTAGAAACATTGTACTATATTAAAGTTATAAAAGAAAAAGAGTATTTTATTTGCTAAAACTACAACTTCTAAAGCTAATCTTACTGGTTGGGGAGAGGGGAAGATAAATGAAAGCAATGACTTTGTATTTTCCAGAGAAAAGGATATTACTTATTAATATTTTTAAATAACTCATTTATTGTTTACCTGTAATGAGCCAGAGTTCTAATAGTGCTGTGGCTAAGGTATTTCACCTTAGGTTAGCAGCTAAACCAGCTCCAAGGTAGAAATATGAGAAAACACGCTTCCATAAATATTTATAGCTTTGGAAATCTTAAACTCTTAGCTACATGTCATTCTTGCTAGGTGCTGTCAAGCCAACTACAACTTACAGTGACTATAAATAACAGATTTAGATCTGTTAAACCTTGTCCTATCATGTGCCAAGCCTCATCATCCCACTGAAGCAGTCATTGTGTCAATTCATCTTGTTGAGGGCATTCCTTTCTTTCTCTGACACCCGACTTTCTCAGCATAATGTCTTTTTCTAAGGACTGGACCTTTCTGATAACATGCTAAAAGTATGTGAGACAACATCTTTGTTTCAACATCTTTGCTTCCAAGGAACACACTTGTTGCATTTTCTCCAAGACATTTTCTCCAAGTGTCTAGGGTTGTTTTTTGTTATTTTTTAAAGTCCATGGGATATTTTATGTTCTTTTCCATCATTTCAACTCTAAAGCACTAATTCTTCTATCTTCCTTTTTCACTGTCCAAATTTCATATTGCTCAGCAAGTAATTGAAAAGACCACAGTTTATGTCAAGTGCACCTTAGTGTTTAAACTGACATTTGTAGAAGTGCTTGACAAAAAATTTCCCAATATAACACATCTGATTCCTTGACTGCTGGTACCGTTGACTGTGAATCCAAATAAAATGAAGTAAGTTGACAACTTCAGTCTTTTCTCACAATGTTCTCTCTTACATAAGGAAATGCAAAATTAAATACCGTTTTCCATACATAATTTTTAAAATGGTTTAAGTAACCAAAAATTAGCTTCTTGTGAAAAATATGTTAAGTGGCTTATACATTTCTTCTTGGTAGAAACCAGACATCTGTTGAAAATTCTATTCTTCCACCCCCCTAGAAAGGGTTCCAAACTCAGTCTTCCAGGCTCATTTGTGAGCAAAGACAAACTCAAACAGGACACAATTTGTAAAATGTGAGTCCCTGGGGAGCTCTGGTGGCCTAGTGCTAAGAAGCTACACTGCAATCCTGAAGATATGTGTCCACAGGATGAGCAGTCTCCTTCCAAGTGATTAGCTGCCTCTGAAAATCTGCTGGAGGGTCAACTTGATAGACAATAATAATAACAGGGAGCACTGGCTGCCTAGGGGTAAGAAGCTCCACTTCAGTCCCAAAGTCATTGTGGTTTGAATCCACCAGCTGCTCTGAGGGAGAAAGATGAGCAATCCCCTCCCATGTGATGAACTCGATCTGAAAATCTGCTGGAGAGTCAGCTATAGTTTGTTCTAGATGTCATACAATAACAACAACAACACTAATATCCAAATGGAAAAAATTTATAGGTCAATGTCCTGGAATGAAAGATTCAGAAGTGAGTCCTTTTGGGAGACTGTTGAAGAGATGGAATTACTTCCAGGATAGTAGAGTGTAGTACATATTCAAAACAGGGTCAGCATTTGGCTGTTACCCTTGAACGAAGCACTGTTGTTCCCAATTCTGTCAGAAACGACACTTGATTGTTACACAATGCACATTTTGTCCTTATTGTCTAAAAGGAAGATTAAATTTCTGTCAAGGTATTGATGTGTAATTTCCCCCTACAGTTGTTTTTCTAGGTACACACATTTTGTAAAGTCTAGTCCATTTCATATTCACATCACTGGCCATGATGAACCGGAAAATAACTGGTTTAAAGTTCTGCTCCTAAATGTTTCATAGATTCTCTTCTTTTTTGAAAGCGTTTTCACACTCTACCCCACTCTGAACACTTAGCCTCGCTCATATGTCACTGATAAAAACAGAAATTCTCAGATGAAACCTACCTTGTTTGTCACCAGATCTAAAATGTGCACCTGCATTGATTCCACTGATCTGATGATAAAGCAATGTCCAAGTAGATACCTAAGACCAACTAATCAAACTGTGCTCTGAACCCTATCCTCATCCACACAGTACTTTTCTCCTGCAATTATTCTTCCTTTCTCTGTATGATATTTCAATCTTTCTCTTTGTAGTATCTTTCAAATTGATCTACAAATGAGCCTTATAATTCCCCACTATTTAAAACATGCCAAATAGAATTTAAAATAGCCAGATGTCACTCACATAATTTTTTCTTTTATAAAGTGTCATGAAAATGCCTCTAAAGTCCTTTAACTTTCCAAATTTTTTTTAAAAAGTCCATTCCAGTCAGGCATATGTTCCAAGCACTTTATAATTTATCGTTTTACAGACATTTATAGTTTCAGATGTCTAACCAAATAAAATGGTCATTCTTTATTTCATTTTCTTTTTTACAAGCATAAATGAAAGTTGACCATTTCTCTTATATGACAATGTACTCTAGTAATTTACTTTCTATTTATTTCCTATAAATATCTTTCCACAACTTCTCTAAATACACTGTCGCTAGCCTCCTTTAGTCCATAGTTTTAACTGTAATTTATATGCAGATCACTCTCAAATTTCTCCCTCTTCTCAGCTCACAGGACTTGTTAGCTGTCATCCTGTTGGCTCATAGAACCCTACATACAGCAGAAGAAACAGAACCCAACCCTTGTGATGTCCTCCTGATTGCTGCAGTGCTCAACTACAGATTCTCTCTTGAATATCCAACAGTTGTTTATGTTTTCACATGGATATGTCAACAAAGATAGAGGAAGAGAAAACTTGGTATTTCCCTCTAAAAGTACACCCTTGACTTCATATTTTCAATCTGAATTTCTGACCCTTGTTTACTCTAAATCTATGATTTCTTCTTTGTTGAGTGTTTGAGACTCACCTCTCACTTCTAATACTTAAGTAAATGCTTTTTTTTCTATTGCCAAAGTATACTTCAAAATCTAAAAAAAACATCTTGCACTCCTGTATAATCATCCTAGTACAAGCAGTCATAAGTTGACATTTTGTTGTTGTTGTTGTTGTTATGTATTGTTTTCATTGAAATTGACTCATAGTTGACCACTGAGTAGATTTTCAAAGGCACTAAATTGCATGGGAAGAGATGATCCACCTTTCTTCCATGGAACAGCTGGTGGATTCCACCCCCAAAATTTTTTGTTAGTAGCACAACTTCTGAAGGGACTTGGTAGATGAGAAGGATTATCCTGGTGGACGGTGGAGCTGGGAAGCAAGTGGGTAATGGCACTGGG